TGGATACCGGCTAGAGGTAAATGAAGTGATGGTGATTATCCTGAGAGACGCCCACTCCCCCTTAAAAAGAGACAGGAAGAGTTTGGTTGGCGCTGTGTCTCCAGTACAAACCAAAAAGAAGCGAGGACTGTCCGTCGCTGATGTGCTGTGACTTGGTGTGCTGTGAAACTTACGCTTCATGCGTTTGTGAGCCTGAGGCCTGGCCTTATGTTCATGCTTCAGGGCTTGAAAAAAAAAATTAGGTCGTTGTTAAAGAGAGATCAGGCTGTACTATCACTGTTTCACACAACCACATCTTTTGCTGGTAATATCCTTGTACTAACATATATGCAGAAAGTTGGATTAAGGAACAATTCCAGATTTCAGTTAATCGTTCTTGTTTTGGTGTATAAATTTGATCATTGGTCGCACCTGGTTTGCCGCGTGACCGTGTGAATGCTTGCAGAGGGTAGCACCAGAATATTTACAAGCACCACGTGGAGGTTGGAGCTGTTTCTTCCAGCAACAGTGCTGTATACCTTTTAAAGAGTATACCTGTTTAAAATAATTGTTAAACTCTAGCACTAACTGGAAATATCGTATGGAACAGGAGAAGAAAGCAGAGTAGGCTGCCTCTCATGCATTTAAAATGCTTACAGCTGCCAGTTGGATGTGATCATCTGTGTCTGTGCTAGGCTCAGACTGTGCAAGTGGCAGCGGAGCCGGGACGAGGTGTCAGCACGTCTTCTGCTCTAGGAACTAAGCATGGTACGGGTAGTAAATCAGGCAAGAATCACGTAGCCACTGAGGCCTAACACAAAGAGCTGTGGGAGTGAGAAGATCTGGGTTCATCTCTTGATTGTGTCACTTGTGCATGGGACTTGTCCTTTCTGCATCTCAGTCATTTGACACTTCTCTGCCCCCACAGGAAATAGGATATTTATCATCTTTATAAAGTGCTTCTTTGGTCTTCTGATGAAAAATCCTATATAAAACTGAGCTATTGAAAGAATTACTTTGGGCGTTTATTATTTACAAGCCTGTATGCAAGCGCAGTAAACTTGTCAAATAAAAGATTTTTTAGAAATAATAATAAATGCTAACAAGTGTCATTAGATGACAGTTAAGATTTTCTTGAGATCACAATATCCCATGGGTTCCTCAAAATCAAAAACGTAGAATGAAGAGCTCTCTGTTGAATCTTTCTGTAGCAGATAGTAGCTGCAGGGAAATAACTGCATGTGCTCCAGCTTTCCAGTCTGAATTATGAGTGGCAGTATTAACAGGGAGCATCTTCACAGGCTCTGGTAATGTCATGTGGTCAATGGATAAGTTTGAAAGTTATGCAGGGAAGTGATTATGATTTCAAATTTGGAACATGGCTTCTTTGCCTTTATGCAATCAAGAAAAAAGTTTCTGTGTTTCTTGATGTTCCAGCATGTCTTATTTCCATGTTAATTCTGTAGGCTGTCAGCAACAATACAGATTGCCAGTAATGTGGGGAGATATGACTGATCCGTGGGTTTGTTGTAGTGGAGTAGATGAAAGTATAGTATTAAACCAAAATTTTGAGTAGGAGTTTACTGTAAAAGAAGGTGATGAGTTGTAAAAATAAGAAAGCGTTGAATTGTTCCAAAGGTGAAAGTGCTGGTTTTGTGGTAGCTGAGAGAGATTATCTTTTCAGTGCAACTTGCCAAAGCTCTAGCTCTGCCTCGTACCCCAGCTGGTATTTCCAGACTCGTCTGTAGAGTCTGACTGTGTGTGCTGCTGAGTTTTTCAACAGTGAACAACAAAGCAAAGATTCCTTGTATCATCAAGCTTCCTGTGGCATCAAGGGAAGTCAGTATTGTTTTCTTCCTACATTTCCTATTCCTTGTTCTTACAAATGGTTGCATTCATGAGAGAAATACAGTGATGTTTTGTCTATCATTCATTCTTGATTGTTTTCTCTTCTGCTGTAACCCTCTTAGAGAGCCTGGTCAAACCTTTCTTCAGTTATTCAATCCATAGGAAGATATTAAGTGTACTAAAATCAGTTTTAAATCTTTGTTTTTATAGAAAGCCTTGATGCTCGTTTCTTCTCACAGATGCTGAAGTCAATACAAGAAAGAAGACATTCACTGAGGTCCAAACAGAACGATTGGAGCAAGCAGAACGGACTGTTTTAATTAAGTGCCCACCAAAACTTAATGAAAAAAAATTATTGCAGTATTTATCCAGTCATGGAAACATTAAGAGTCATTTCTTTTTTGAAAATCGTGTAAGTAATTAACAATGTGAACTAAAATCTAGACTTAGACAAAAGTAAATACCAGCGTTTGATCAAGGCCTCATACATGCAAGTTAAGCAAATTATATATAATTAGTATATTAAATTAGTTTCTAGCTTTGTTAATGTTTGCAAGTTGCTGAGCAACAGATTTATTTTTGTATGTCAGCTAAGCAACACCTGTAAGGGATAGCTTGTGTCCTGTTCTGCACTAAATCTTTGAGATTTTTACATAGCACTATTCTTTGTTCTAACAATAGAGCTAACTCTTTTTTTATGTGTTTCTTGAGCATTTTATGAAGATAAATAGATTTTAGAATTTTCATGTTTAGTGCTTACTGCCGAGAATAGCATATCTTTGACCTCTTGTGAAAAAGTGTCCAGAAAGTGTTGATGTGTAAAACGTGGCGTTCAGCTTCAGGACTGTCATATTAAACTGTCTCAAAACTCCCAGGAATGTCTGAATAATATCAGTACAATCAATTCAAGGCTTGTATGCATTTGTCTAACCCTGTTTCCATTCTTAATGTTTAGGGTATCCATGCTTTAATAGAATTTTCGGAAAAGAAAAGTATAGCCTCATTGGAGGATGCTGTTGGAATCCCAAGTGGTGCAGAGCATCATGTTGTCCCGTTTAAATCTAGGCTCTTTACTTTCACACTGAAAAACCCAGTGAGTCAAGCTGCTGAAGAGACACCCGTTCACCTCTCTCCTCAGACTCACATTCCAGTGAAAGACCTTATTCAAAAGCTTTGTCATGCAGACAGTGTAAGTAGAGGTTTCTATAGCTCTCTCAACTAAAAATGAACCATGTCCATTTCAGATTTGTAGGTGGTCACGTGCAACTTATAAAGCAATTTATTTCTATTAAATAAAAAGTAACCTCTGTTAGGATTTGGTGTGACTAGTTCTCCTACATTGAAACAAATAGATGAAATTAGTCAATTTAATTGTCGAAATATTTTTTTCTTTGTGAAATAAACCTGTTAGAAGACTTTTTTTTTTTAAATCTCAAATTGAAATGATATTAAGTAGATGAAAAGATATGTTAATAGATAGAAGATGGGTCATAGTATTTTTACAGTGTTTATTTTCTTAACTAGGTAAGCAGTCAAATGTACATTTTACTGAATGAGTATCAGCTTACAGAAGAAAATATCAAGCTCCGATTTCTGGCCTGTTCTCTGGTTCGAGATTTCACACGTGCATATTTTCCAGACAGCACAGTAAAGCCATTTGGCTCTTCAGTCAACACCTTTGGCAAATTGGGATGTGATGTGGACATGTTTCTGGACTTCCATGATGTACGAAAGCATGCTACAAAAATGGTAAGATTATGCTGTGCATCTTCAGTCTGTTGGATTTTTTCAACAGAGCAGGTCACTTACTGTTTCACACACAGAAATTAGTTTATTTATACTTAGGTTTTACATGAGTTCATACTATAGACTGTGAGCAAGTTTATTTGAATGTTTGGATGTGAAGACTTTCAAAAGCTGGATGTGACATGAGAGAGATCTTCCTTGCAGTAGGAAGAAAATTATTTGATGTTTCCATAGACTTTGTACTGTTAGGATGAATTTCACTGTGAAAAAAAACCCTCATCCTCTGAAATTGATTCAGCAATGTCAGTCCTTCCCATCCTGCTGTGGTGTTTTCTTCTCTGGAGCTGCTGGGCTTCATCCACGCTGTTTTAAAGCTTGGCTTTGATCTTTAGGGTCCCCTGTTCTAAAGCATAATAATCTTGTGCATGTGTGTGCATGTGCATTTTGGGAGGGTTGTCAGGTTCTTTTCCCTAGTTTAAAGAGTTGACTTCATACTACAGAAAAGTTACTGAATTATATACTGAGGTGCATATATATACACACACACACAAGAGCGTGTGGAAGTGTAAGACCTGGGATAGTATTGGTGAATACTTGCAGGTGGCACACATTGATATTTGTGTTGTCTGTCCAGAGATAATTACCATGTTAACAGCACCTGATTTTTGTTGTGAAGGGAGTTAGTTGGCTCACTCTTGAAAGGAACCTAAGGATAAGATGGTGTATGCGAACTGTAGATGTTTTGGGGACCAGGACCCAGGATCAAAACAAGAACTGAGCCAGATCAATCATGCCTATAGTTTAAGTTGTCGGACTTTCCATAAGATACTTCATAATTATTTGAATGCCTCATTGATAATACAACAGTAAGCACGAAGACAGTTGGTGGTTACTAAGCAAGTGTAGAGGCTTGAAATTGAAATACACTCACTTAAATTTGCTGAGCAAAGTACAGAATTTGTGTCACTACCTTGAGAAGCTGGAGAGCGACAAGACTGCCAGTAAGCAATATGCAGTCAACAGTACTGCCTTCTTCAATGCACATATTAAATTTCATGTTAATCATATCTTTACCTACCATACTATGGTTCAGAAATCTGCACTATGTAACCAAGTTCCCATGTTTAGTGTTGGTATTTGGGCAGCTTCAAATGATAATGGTTATTTAGAGTAGGTTGTGTCTCAGTCCTTGTGTGTGTAGGCATAAAGAATGCAAAGAGATTAGATAAGGATCTTGTCTCTTGCTGCTGTTTTTGGACTGTGGGCAGTGTAAATATCCTTTCAGATTGAAGAAGGGAATATGAAAGAGATGAAAATCAGGATAGGAAGAAGGGAGAGTTGGATCAGAAATGCCTTGTGAAGTTGAGATTCTTCATGGATTGTGAATAGGTAGTTAAGTAAGTGATTCTGGCGTTTTGAAAACTTTTCTTTTTATTTGTGTGATGACAGATAGTTTGGGAAAAAACAGCTTTGTTTTCCTTAGGGGGGGAAAAAAAAGACAACAGGCTTAAGCTTTTGAAGATTGAAAATTCACTCAGCTTTTCTGTACAATTTGTGTATTGCCATGTATTTTACTTTTAAAGAAATATCCCTTCAAACATATATAGTTTTTAGTATTAATGCAGTGATCAAACACAATGAAAGCAAACATGTCAGCTGAAGAGTAGGACTGTCGTGTGTGTGGGAAGTGTTAAAATCTAGGAACCCTTTACATTTGAACAGTAAAGCTGCCTCTTAAATTTGGAGGGAAAAATCTTTCAAGTATAAAATGTCTATTTTCAAACCATGTATTGTAACTAGCTGTTTTCTTTAGTATTCATCTGTAGAAGTATATGTTCTGTTGTGAACTTTAGAGTTATTCAGTGATGGACGGGGTTACTAGCAGTTTTCGTTACCTGTGGACAGTTGACAGACATCTGAGCGTGGGGATGCTGCAGCAAAAGCCAGCAGGGATACTGTCTGAGCATATGTCTTCATGTTACACGATTGTGCTGTGCTTATGTGGTGGGGTTTTGGTAGCATGGGAGTGGCTGCAGAGAGAGCCCCTGTAAGAAGCTGCAAGAAGCTTCCCCGGCTCCAAAACCGGTCAGACCCACCTCTGGCCAGGTGGGACCCCTATCCCCTCTGGCCACGGCTGAGCCAGTCAGTGCCTCTGCAAATGCCATATTTAAGACGGGGAAAAACGGAGCTCGAACCAGGGCTGAACCTACAGTCATGAGAGCAGGCAGGCGGGTGGCTTGTCCCCCGGCCTCCTGGGCAGGCAGCTGCCCACGCTGGGTCGCTGCTACCAAACTGGAGATGGCCGCAGCGGCGCAGGTTGGAGAGCTCCAAAGTGCCCACTCCCGGGGCACCCGCTGGGCGGAGTTCATCCTGCTGAGGTTTGTCAGGCTGGTCAGGCCCGACAGGGCTGCAGCAGAGAGAGGACTGAGATCTGAAAGAAACAGCTACGCGTATTCCAAGGCCAGTGAAGGTGGAGCAGGAGGAGGTGTGCTGGAGCTGAGATTCCCTTGCAGTGCATGGTGAGACAGCAGCGGCCACCCTGCCAAGGGGGTGGAGATGCATCTGGAGTCCATGGAGGCTCCCGCGCTGGAGCAGGTGCTGTTCCTGAAGAAGCCATGACTCTGTGGGACAGAAGCCCGCGCTGGAGCAATCTGATGGGTAAGGATTGCATCCTGCGGGAAGGACTCACATTGGAGAAGTCTGTGAACTGTCCCATGAGGAGGGGATCCATTGGAGCAGGGGAAAAGAGTGTAAGGAGTCCTCCTTTAAGAAAGTAGCGGCAGAAACAATGTGTGATGAACTGACCCCCCCCCAATTCCCTGACCCCCTGTGCCACAGGGGGAGGAGGTAGAGAGCTGGAAAGAAGGGATGGGTGGGGGTAAGGTGTTTTAAGATCTGGCTTTGTTTGTTCTTGTCCTCTCAAGTAGCTGTTAACAAATTAAATTGTTTTGTCCCCAAGCTGACTCTGTTTTTCCCTGGGGCTATGGTTGGTGGGTGATCCCTCCCTGTCTTATCTTGACCCTCAGGCTTTTTGTTACATTTTTCTCCTCTCCACCCCACAGAGGGGGAGAAGTGAGCAAGGAACCTCATGATGATAGCTTCACTGCCGGCTGGGCTAAACCACAGCAACGATAGGTTAACAGGCTGTGTGGCACACTTACACTCTATGTGGTGCAGTGAGTTTTTTGTCTTGCATGCAAGCACAGTCTTCACATACCAGAGATTATAGTCTTGTTGGTTTTGTTGATGTTTTTGAGCATTAAAACACAGGCCCATGTGCTGTATCAATGTGAAAGTATTTACAAAAAATAAGGTACATTAGAGCATTGTCCTGTAAAGAAGTGCAAAAATTAAAAATCATTAGTGCAACTTTTCTGTTTTGATTCAAGCATAGTCAGAATAGGAGACTAAGCTGCTAGCACCTGGAGAGCTTTGTGCTTTGTAGGTGTGGTGGGTTAATCTTGGCTGGCCTCCAGCTGCTCTCTCATTCCCCCCTCATCAGCAGGATGAGGGGAGAAAATAAGATGAAAAAGCTCATGGGTTCAGGTAAAGACAGGGAGATCGCTTACCAATTACTGTCACGGGAAAAACAGACTCAACTTGGGGAAGACTAATTCAATTTATTGCCAGTTAATAATGGAGTAGGATAGTGAGATATAAAAAAAAAAAAACCACCACAAAAAAAACAACAAAAAAAACCCAAAAATTAAAGCCACCTTCCCACCACCTCACCTTCTTCCCAGGCTCAACTTCACTCCCAACGCTTCTACCACCTCCCCTCAGGCAGCGCAGGGGGATGGGGAATGGGAGTTGCAGACAGTTCATAAAGCTTTGTCTCTGCTGCTCCTTCCTCCTCATGCTGCTCCTCTGCTCCAGTGTGGGGTCCTTCCCACAGGCTGCAGCTCTTCAAGAACTGCTCCAACATGGGTCCTTCTCACGGAGTACAGTTCTTCAGGAATGAACTACTGCCGTGTGGGTTCCCCATGGTGTCACAGGTCCTGCCAGAAAACCTGCTCCTCTTCATGGCCTGCATCTCCTGCCAGGAGCCTGCTCCTGCATGGACTCTCCACAGGCTGCAGCTTCCTTCAGGGCATATCCACCTGCTCTGGTGTGGGATCTTCTATACGTTGCAGAGTAGATATCTGCTCCACTGTGGTCCTTCATGGGCAGCATGAGGACACCCTGCATCCCTCTGGTCTTCTAGGGAATGTCTGCTCTCATGCCTGGAGCACCTTCTCCATCTTCACTGACCTTGGTGTCTGCAAAGTTATTTATCTGACATTTTTCTCACTTTCCCAGCTGCTGCGCAACATTTTTTGCCCTTTCCTAAATATGTTATCTCAGAGGTGCTGCCAGCTTCACTGATGGACTCAGCTTTGGCCAGCGGCTGGTCTGTCTTGGAGCCAGCTGGAACTGTTTATGTCCAACATGAGGCGCAGCTTCTGGTGTCTTCTCACAGAAGCCACCCTGCAGCTCCCCTGCTACCAAAACCTTGCCACATAAACCCAATACAGTAGGAAAAGATGATGTTGGACGTATCTCCTGTGACAGGCAACAGGCAATACTTCAGAGGAAGGTAAAAGTCTTGTGTAGTTGGCAGTGTGATTTATAAGGATATTGATACTCTCCCTGGCAAATTGTATTACTAGTATACATAAGTTGACTGTCTTAGTTCGAAGTGAAGACAAGGGGAGGTAGCTTTAGTTATAGATGATATATCAGTGATGAACAGATTTCTGCACTATTGCAGCCTTTCAGGAGGTACCAGCAATGGAGGAGGACCAGGCATTTCAGCACCTCTTCACATTCAATAACATTTTTTGAGTCTTAATGGCAAACCGATTACTAATTGTGAATTAAAAAAGCAGCAAAAGTGGGAGCGTTCTTTACCAAGTGTGGATTATCAATACAGGTTTGACTGCAGATACAGTGTTTTTAACATGTGAGTGGTTTGGGAGATTAGTGTGAATGACTTAAAACAGAGTTCTGTGGTATTTTTAGAGTAACAGTTTTTGTGTTAAAACAGCTATGCTTCTTGCTTAGGCTACTATATCAAATTACCCCAAAGTAATAGTTTACTTTATCTACATTTGCTGTTTTGAGCAACATGACAAGAATAGGGGGAGAACCACAGGGTTGGGCAAATGTATCAGTACTTTGTCTTCCCAGCTGGCATTCAGTGTTCATTCAGCAGGTGTTCATTCAGCTTTTGAGAGATATTGAGCTGCTGTCTAGGAAGGCACATCGTGATTTTTGTCACAAACATAAGGGTCTGAACACCAGCACACCTACATGTCAGCTGAGTCTCTGTCCTTTCTTTCCTGTTACCTACCTCAGTGAAACTTAAAGGCTCCTTTCGCTTTGAGCCAGCCCTGCTGTAGCATGCAGCTACGCAGCCAGATGACATCAGGGACCTCTGTCTTGGTACATTCAAACACACGAACTGGCTGGAGAACTGTTGGCAAGAGGAGAGGATGAACAGTCACCTCAGTGGTTGCCAGAGCAACTCAGAAATTCAGCACCTAAAATGAGTTTAGGAGAAAGGTTACAAACTTCTGAATTGTTTCACCTGTCTGTGAGTGCATGTTTTTTTTTTTCCACTAACCTGGTGACAACAAAAATAACCTCCTCTGTGTGTCAGAGGACTAGTTAGGTCACTGCATAATACTGTTTGTATACTATACAAATAGTTTGTATACTGTACAAACAGTTCACCCGTGACGTGTTCCAAGGGGGAGGATAAGTCAGTGTCAAGTATTAACAAGCAAAATTAGCTGAGGCTTGAAAACAAAGAGAGACTGTGAAGATAACTGAGATTTCATAGGTATGAAGTTATTTTATTGAGGTATAAACTACACATACGACAATTCAGAATACAAAGACCTACAGGAAAATTTGTGTCTGATGATATCAAAATACATCTCCATGGTTTTTTTTATTTGTCAGAAAAACTGTCTGATACAAAGTGAATATTTTAAGTCTTACAGAAATTTACCTCCATTTTGAAGGGTTAAGTAATTTGCAGGCTAAAATTTGTAGGTTTTTTTAAATGAAAAAGACATTTTCTTTACACTGCTACTTGATTCTCTAATAACGCATTGTTCTTTGAGGATTTGAAATGGAATTACTGATAGTTTGAAATTAATGGTGGTTTGGTTGTGGTTTGCCCCTCTTACTTTTTAATTTAATTATTTGCCCCTCTTTTCAGTCAAAGCATATATGCTCTCTCGGGAATTCAAGAATTACTTGGTTTAAGCAACAGTGAGATGTAGTAGTATTATACCCTCATCTGAACAAGTAACTTTACAGTAAGTTGATCACTATTAACCTGGGAAAATTGAATCACTGAAAAAGTGTATAAAAGAGAAGGCAACATATTTTTACCTTTTTAAAGTTCTGTGGGCTTCTTTGAATAATTCCTGTCTTTCAATCTGTCTTTGCACGGACTCTTTTACAAATTGGTTTGATCTTTCAGAAGTATTCTTAAATGCGTCTTTGGTTCCAGAACTAACAGTTTACTTTTAAAATTTTGTGTTAGAAAAAAGGTCCCTTCGAAATGGAATATCAGATGAAAAGATTACCATCTGAAAGATTAGCAACTCAGAAAATTCTTTCTGTGATTGGTGATTGCCTTGATAATTTTGGTCCTGGATGTGTGAGCGTACAGAAGATACTCAATGCTCGCTGCCCGCTGGTGAAATTTTCCCATCAACCAACAGGATTCCAGTGTGATCTGTCAGTGAGCAACAGGTGAGACCTGGTTTTAAAAAGTTTAGGAAGAATACTAATGTACCTATGTTCTGAAAACCTGTAGTGAAAACTGTTTAGTCCACTCCTTCCTGTGTTCCTTACAAATATGAATGTTGGCTCTGAAAGTAAGAAGGATATTTTTGACTTTCAGAGCTTAGGTTTTAATATGCTTCAGATATCTTTCTCCAGCATAGGAAATACTTGCTAGCTGAAGCTGGAGACTTTGAAAACCACTCTATACTATAAGGTTGGCTTATAAGGGATTGAAAGAAGTCAGTGTTCATTAGTCATTACTTCCCTTCATGTGTATGGGTATATGCACAGCCTTCTTTTGATGGCTTTTCAGATTAACAGCTCCATTGTGTTAATTTTTAGCAACAGGGCTTCTAGTTATTTTGGTGTCCTTGTTTTCTTCTTAAGGGTCTGCATACACCTGTTTGCTGGCAAGGTATCTTGAATGCTGAATTAACTCATTGCATCAGAAAACAGTCTAAAGTGTTACTGTCATTTAGGACCTTTCACAGCAGCGCCCGATAGAGGGAGCAGGCCTCTTAGAAATACCTCTCTTTTCATCTATTTTTCCTCTTCCAATTTATTCTCATTTGGTTGATAGTAAAGCATATAATTTATATTTTTGCTGTCGCTTAATTTGTTAAGAATTACCCACCTTGATCCAGTATACATCCGTAGCCCTGGTGTAAGGCTACATAATCAAAAAGAGTTACTAACCCTTTTGATTGTTGTTAGGGAATAGTAAAATATGAGTTGTTATCTTTCAGAATACTTCCAATACGACTTTCAGTGCAGAATTTTGTAATTTGTCTACATCAGATATAATCAGATCCTAGGCTGAATTTTCTGAATTACCTGAAGTTCTCTTTCAGAATATGCAGGAGTTGTTAAGGCAATACTGAGCAAACGTCTTACAAAAAAATTACTTTTGTACATGCAGCTGCAGTGGAAGTTTGTAGTTTGCATGCAGTTCTGTGCAAACTTCCTTGTAATTCTCTGCTGATGGTTTGGCTGGTTGGGACTCTGTGTTGTCTTGTTATCGTTTGGAGTATTAACAAACCTCCGCGGACACAAGGAAGCACTTCACAGTTGAAGCTTTAGAAGTCCACATGTGACAAAACTTGGACATGGTAAACTTCCCCAGATAACCGTGGCGAATTTTTAGAAGAATTCAGTGTAAGATTTGGAGTAAAAACTCGTGCAACTGTAGTTCCATAAGCACTTTAGACTAAAATTGACCCCAAAGTAAGTCTTGCTCTCACACCATGTTTCCATTTCTTATTTTCTGCTTTTTCTTGCCCTCACATTTGTACATGACATGGAATGTTTGTAGGACCATATGATGAGGCAGATCAAAACCTGATCCATCTGAAAACTTTCATCCTTCAAGATTAGTTGTTTTTTCAGCAGGACCAAACATTAGTCATTTGAAAATTACTGGATTGACTTGTTTTGCAGATTTCATTGTGTCTCTGCATGTTATGTATTTTTCAGTGCATTATTTTATTACTTTTTAGATTAAAATTGTGAAAGAAGTTCTAGTTGTATTTTATTATATATTAGGGTAGAGATGTTATCCAATGTACCTGAAAGGCAATTTGTGGACATTTCACTCTTGAGTACTTGATCTTGGTGGGTTTTGTTTGTTTGCTTTTCTTTTTTGTTTTGTTTTGTTTTCTCCCACTGTGATATGGAACAAGGAAATGGTGCAAATGCAGTATTATTATTTAGCCATAATTGTATCCTCCTTACTGTGGAAGACCACCAGGTATTTCATCGTGGACAATTTCAGCTATTCTCTTCTACGTTTTTAAATGCATAAAAGTTAAATTTGGTGGTTTGTGGATTTTTTTGTGGATATCCTCTTCCCTTGGAACTGATGCTCTAGGGACGAACAATGAACAAACACTGCATCTGGTGCTTCACAATTCTCTTATTTTTTTATATGTCTTTTACTTTTTGTTTCTTCTTCAGCATTGCTATAAAAAGTTCAGAACTCTTGTATATCTATGGCTGTCTTGATTCCCGTGTAAGAGCACTAGTGTTCACTGTACGGTGTTGGGCCCGTGTTCATGGACTTACAAATAGTGTTCCTGGTAACTGGATTACAAACTTCTCCCTGACCATGATGGTCATGTTTTTTCTTCAAAAGAGATCACCACCTATCATTCCAACACTAGACCAACTTAAAGAACTGGCAGGTAAGGACAGCTGTTCGTGTGTTTGTTGAAGTGACTCTCACATTTGTTTTCTCTGAAGTGATGAATAAACCCCAGCAATTTCTTTATGCTCTTAAATGCTAATGCATATTACGTATGCCTTAAGTTTGAGGGAACACGGAAGTTTTACTTGGATTTTTTTTTGTGAAAATAATGCATTTTTAAAGGCAAAGTAAATAATTTTTCAGTAGAATACTAAATTCTAGAGATAATTAAAAGTCATTTATTTGCTCAGTGCTCCCATGCTGGCTGTTTTTGTTCTATTTTGGTTTTTAAAAGACTTGTAAGGTCTCAAATGTCTCTGCAGTTGTTAAGGATTTTGTGCAGATTGGTACGATGCATATTGTTTTATAGAAACCAAATGCTTAAAAGAAAGGCTATATTTTTCCATCACAATTTGTAATATTCTTGAGACTGTTCAAGCCACCTGTAAATAATTCGTATATCTTTGCAAACAAGCTGTTCTGGCTATTTCATACATAGCTTTTAGGGTGTATTATTTTCAGTAAATCTAATGAAAGTATAAAGAATGACACCTCAAGTTTTTGATTCCTCACTCATGCCTTCTGCTCATTGACATGCTTCCTTGGAAGCTTTGAGTGGAGAAAAAGGTATGTTTTCAGTTGCTTTAAAATCAGTCTTAGGCATTTCCATCAGAATTCTATAGAATTTTTAAACATAAAACAAAACACCTGTCCTAAAATTTTACAAGAGTATTCCTAGTTCTCTTTATTTTTTTCAGAGAAAGACAATAGACATTTGGGTCTGAGTTTTTTTTGAAACCCTCCTGTAGGTATTAACCTCAGAAATTTGTGCTGTTTAGTATATAATAAAGCTCTCTATGCAGAGGTATCGGGTTTGTTACTTAAAAGAGGTAACTTCAGAGATACAAAGATGTCATATACCTTGTTCCTATAGGCTTTTGAAAACATACCATTTACTTATGCTTCTTTTCCTTTGCCTGCCCATAGACATTTTTTCTTTTAAATCTTTAAACACTTAAGTTGAATCTTAACCTGAAAGTTCGCTTGTGAACTCTCAATTTGATTTACTTAATATGATAGCATTCACTGAATTCAGTCATGTCTGTCTGAATTTTATTAAATACGATGGCGTTTTATTGTTTATCACTTCAAAACATGCTTACGATTTTTGTTTCAGATGAAAAAGACAAGCATGTAATTGGAGGATATGATTGCTCATTTGTTAGTGACTTAAGCAAGATTAAACCTACAAAAAATACAGAAACACTTGGTAGGTAAATCGTCAACTTTTTATGTATTTATTAGGTTTTATAAGCATATTTAAAACAAACTTTTGTTTAATGTTACTGGTGACTATTGTTTTTCTTTCCCTTAGATGTATTGTTGGGTGACTTTTTTGAATATTTTGGAAACTTTGATTTCAGAAAGAATTCCATAAATCTTCGAAAGGTAAATGAATTTAATCTCTCATTATGAATTGAATTTCTCTGTCTGTCGTTAGACGAACTACATACGCTAAGCAACGATTTCTGTCGTTTTTAATTGTATATACAAAGTACATTTAAATTGGTTGTATCAGTTACCGTGAAGGAAGAGAGTTTTCCTCTTGGAGCCTAATCACTTACAGCGCTATTAAGAACATTTACGGAGTCGTTACTTGGAGTTGTTGGAAAGCACAAACTCTGATGCTAAGCCTGTATGATTTTTCTTAACAACTCTGTAATAAAAATGGCGGTTTTAAAAAGTAGAAACTATTTTAAATATTTATTTATTTCCCCTCTGTGAGGGGAAAACTTTTGAATTAAATGTCACAAGGTATGTCATAGCAAAAGTCTATGACAAATTCTGTACACCAACAGGCTTTGCATTTAAAGTTGGAAGTCCACACCCAAACAATGTCTGCATTAAAACTTACGACTGAGTAGGTTTTAGTGTGCTGAGTAGCACTTTTGGTGCTTGAGTTTCCTACTGCAGTTTGCATCAGCCTACAGTAAGCGTACTTACAATTCAGTAAGCATGACAGATAACAGGATCATTCTGTGCTTGCCAAGGGGTCTGCACTGTCACTTTGTTGTACTTTATGTGTTGAAGTCATACTGTTTATTGATACGTGTGTGTGCGCATACAAGTATAATAGAAATACGTATAAATGTAACCACCTTAACTTGGACCTGTTCCTGCTGGACTGCTTACAGGATGGGGCGTTTCAGTGCCACGTTGCTGTGTGGACACTTGTTTGTGTTCTGTTTCCTGCTTGGGCGCTATGGATTACTGGCATAAGAGCTCTTTTTGCCGCTGCAGGTTGATCCTAGAAACTGATTCATTAAGCTAGAGAACTTTTGTTTGCCGTTAAACCTTAAAAAAGGCAAGCAAAAACATAACACGTTGGAGCCTGAGCTAGTCAGGAGAAGTGTCTGTGCTGCTGATGTTTTCCTATTTAACTAGTCAGTCCTCTTGGCCTTGGGGCAAGAGTATGTAGAATATACATGGACATTTCCTGGAGTAGCATTAGCTGGTAGGTTCGTGCTAGAGCTTTCCGTGGAAGGCTTGCAGAGGTTCTGTAATACAGAGCAGGTCATCTAAGGGGCACTGATAAGTGCTGAGATGGAAGTGCATTTAAATAGTAAACTACATAGTTGTCAACAACTTGCATTGTACTATACCAAGTGCCCAAAAGTGGACCATGACCTGAATAGTTCTATACTTAAAAGGCTGAACTGGGAGGAATTTCAGCCAAGTGAGTAATCTTGTTTTGTTATACCAGCTCTTCATGAATGCTGTAGGAGGAATGGTGTGAACAGTTTAAGTGCTTGTAGTAGTTTCTCAGACTGGGCTATGCAGGTTAATGTGACACACTCATGCTACCCATACACAAATGGAGATAGGGGTAGAAGATTGCAATGAGTGAGGTCTGAGGTTTGTGGAAAAGCAAATGGGAGAATGGCCAAAAAGACAAGCTAAGCTGTAGTTGTGTGTTCTTTGCCTTGAAGGAAATCCAAGCTGAATGTGGGAAGGAAAACCACCACTGAGGATTCAGAGAACAGGAGTCATACTGTCAAGTTAACAGGAAAATTAACTTGATTAATAATGACATTTTTTTTTCCAAAAAAGTTCTCTACTAGGTCAAAATACTTTTAATGCTCATGTAATAACTCAAGTGATTTGTTATTTGCTCAGCTTGTAATGTATATATGCAACTTTGGCTTTTTCTTTACACTGTCTGCAGGGAAAGGAAGTAAATAAACCTGAGTCGTCTCCTCTTTATATCTGGAATCCCTTTGAACAAGACCTTAATATCAGCAAGAATGTTAATCAGCCACAGCTGGAGAAATTTGTAGCTATGGCCAGAGAAAGTGCCTGGATTTTACAGAAGGAAGATAAAACTCAGCGAATGATCAATAAAGAGCCTTGGGGACTGGCAGCCCTGCTGATACCATTTGGGAAAAGTAATCCCAGCAAGATGAAGAATAGGATGAAAGGAATAGGGAGCGAAACAATCAGAAGCCTCTTGGACTCTTTAAAGTTAAATAATCCAAACAGTCTACAAAAAGCAGTGGGAAAGTGACTTTCAGCACAGAAACACAGTAGCTGGTATTCTGTTTTAGGAATTGAATGTGACACACAGTCCGAAGAACGTTACTTTTAATATTTTTATTATGGTGAAATGTAGAGTCAAATGACCTCTGTTTTCCATTCTGATTCTTTTTGTACAGATCTGCTTTCTTTCTGTACATTTTTCTCCTTCTTACTCCTCACTTTTCCATCTGTTTTATGAATGAAGAGTGTTGAAATGCAAGTTTTACAGATGCATTTTGGAACTAACCTTCAGCTGGGCAGTCTTTAAAAAAAACAAAGAGAAAGACTGACAGGAGCAGCATGAGGAAAGCCTTTGGGGATTCTGTTGGCTGACATACAACTGATAGTCTAAGTAAAAGCTCAAGAAACAGCCACCTTTCAGTGAAACCACAGTTTAAAAGAAAATGAATGTTAGAACCATTGCTTCCATTCCCGTCATGATCTGGAAGCCAGTAAAATCAAAGTGCATGTATCTATTTTTGCAATTGTTTTCCATTCATGTAGATAGTGCCAAGACAAAATAAAGAGAATGGAATTGGATAGTAAGGTTTGCAGTTTTATAAAGTATTGCTCTCCAAGGATAGTGCAACTGTTTTGTGTTGGAAAAGTGATTTTGGTGTTGTGTTTACCACCTGATCTCAAATTTCTTCAGTCAACTCTTGTTTTCTGTACCATGGGGCTGGTTCCCACATGCACTTGTATATACACTCACGTTTCTCATTTTGCCTTTAACTTCACTTTAAACCTGTATTTCAGGTTTGGGCAGAGGCTTTTGCATACCATTCTTGCCTCATCACTCTCCTCAAAGTTGCTGCCTACTAGGCAACACCAGAGCCTTCCTTTCACTGTCCCTTGCAGAGGGATCTGTCCCTTGCAGAGATCCATAGGGAATCATACATCATGCTGGAGTCCCGTTCCCATTCGTGCCCTGTTTTTCAGATATTCAGCAGAACAGTCTGAAGACTGTCTTCTTTCCAGATCAGTTGGGTCAGTGAGAGTCAATGCTTCTCGTTGACTCTAAGCATCTAGTTCTCTGTCCATCTGCCGTAAATGAGAGTGTTTTCAAAGGAAGAGGGGAAAGAAGGAAGGAAAGAAGGAAGTCAGAAAGGCAAATCTCAGATAGATTTTCCGGGTATGTTTGTGAGTATTCTACCTGTCCAGTTTGAGAGCCACTTGTGCATTAAAACTAAATGGCAATGGTGATGATAACTCCACAGACTGTTGTTTTTATTCTTGACAGAAATGCCATGCAGGAGATTAGTGTAACTCAGAGATTATCATACAGATGCAACATCGATGTTGATGATTACTGTTTCATTTTAGTATTAATAGATTCTATAATGTTGCAGTGGTATATGATTTTGTGTAGACTTTCTTTCTAATGGTGTAGTCTGAACAGTTAAAAAGTGTGTCTTCCCTGAGGTATTATTTGTTGGAAATACTATGGGCAGTAATGCATACTTCCAAAGTACTTGTAAAAACTGGACAAAGAAAAGTGTTTTCCAGGAGCTGGCAGACTAAAGAGTTAGACCTTGAGTGGCAGGAAGACCCTCTTACAGATGAATTCCATTATTAGTTTATGTGGAATTTAAAATAATATTCATATGTGTCCATTTCTAATTCATAAATGTTCTTTTCAAATAATGACTCACATAATCATTATCTTGGTCACAGGAGTTAATTCTCGTATCAACTTCTACAAGATTAAGCCTTGAATTTCAAACTTAGTTTTATACCTAAATCCTGGTGCTAGTGTGTGAACTTCTTTTTGGAGGCTGGTATGAAGTTTATTGTAACTTGTTATTGGTGCTAACCCAAAGCCTTTGATAACAAGCTTGGCACTGGTGCTTAAGGAGTCTGTTGCTACCTTAATCTTTACAGAACCTAGCGGTACATTTTCTGCTGTTTCCTCAGCAATAGACTTTGAAGCTTTTTGAAGATTGGGGCAGTATTTGAGTATGTGTGAGTTTTCTTTTTTCCAGCTAAACAAAATGGGTAATACTGCAGTGGAATAATAAGAAAATGGGTTAACAGGGACAGAAGCATACAGCAGAACTGTGGCAGAGTAGACCTACTTGCATTATGTTCACGGTGGTTCACTCTGACATAGGTAGGAAAGATTTTATAAGAATTTTGACATACGGACACAGGACACTTGTAGTCAAATACTAATAAACTTTGTAATTTGGTTATACAGTTGAGCCACGCTGAATCACATGCTTCATGTGTAAATGTGTGTAGGCATTCAAGCTGCTTAGTATTCCCTAAAAGGCAGGGCAGAACCTGGTTACAGTACGTGCAGCGCCTTTCAGCATCACTTTTCTGTTCAGACTGCCTGTCCCTTTTGGGAATAATTCTGAACCCCTGTCATGGCTGCAGGCCAATTTCTGAAAAGAAAAAAAAACAAGCCAAAAGCAGTTTTGTAGCAATGGAAATGCACAGGTGATTGTTTTGGAAGTCTGCAAGGCCAGGGATCTGGAGACCAGCTGCTGACTTTGAAGAGCAGCTGTCATCGATGATATAAATAAGCCTGGCGGGCAGCTTTCATAGAGTAGGCTGCGAGCTGGGGGTGGAGAGCCAACCATAAACTTCTCTAGAGCTTGAGCTGTGTCTGGGAGAAGAGCTGTGTGACACTAGTGGAACTGAAGCCACCTGTGGGAAGAGAACCAGACAGAGAAGAGCAGGGCCAAGATTTGACGGGGTGTATTTAGCAAATCAAGAGAGATGGTGTGATTCTAATTTCCTGAGGGCAGCAGCCTTGTCACATTGAAGATGGATAGAAACAATCAATATGGTTATGTCAGTAAAAACAAAGGCTGGATATTTGTCAAGAAAGCACTATAGTGACAGTCTGGACTTCAGAACTTGTTCATATCATCCAAAAACATGTAAACAATGTCTTGGTGAGAGTGAGGCACTAAGTTTTAGTTACTTCTCAAACTTGGCACTGATGTGCTATATTGTAGGATACTGCTGGAGAGGCCACACATAAGGAACATCAGGGAATTAAACACATTTTTGCACCTCTGCCCCTTCCCCTCACTGGGAATACTTTTTAGTGCAATCTCACATTCCCTTGCTCTTAACTGGTTAGGGAAAATGAAAACATTTGAAAGTTCCTTGCCCTGAGAATATGCTCTTTGGGACAATAACATTTGTTGCCAGGGATATTTTTTTATTTTCTAGATGTTTGATGCTCACAAGAGTTGCAGGACTGGGTTCTGTTGCAACTCCCACTGCTCCGTCATTCCTCTGTAGCTTCCTGAGGATCTGCAGCCTTGGTCTGCAGTTAGCTGCTGGATGAGCATCTGTGTGTGATGCTCATGGCTAAGACAGTCACAAAACTGAGACTGGCTGGTAGCAGATGCTCTATTCCTCTGCCTCAATTTCAACTACAGTTCCTGCCTGGGATTCTGTCCTTTGGACTTTGGATCACTGTATGATTCAGGCTGGGAAAGACCTCTGGACCTAGTCCAGCTTCCTCTTCAGGCAGGATCAGCTGTGAGATTAGACCAAGTTCCTCAGGGCTTTATCTAGTCAGGCCTCAAAAATCTCCAATGATGGAGACTGCACAGCCTCTGTGGACAGCCTGTTCCAGTGCTTGACTGTCCTCATCACCCCAATGGCCTGGTCTGTCATACACTGCCACATCCTTGTCACTCTTACTGGCTTCTTTTCTGATCCTCAAATTAGACTGCCATCCATCACAAATGTTCAAGCTGCTCCTTCATGTAAGAGCCCCCCTAGTCTTCCCTTCTTCCTTGCCTGTCTTTCCTGAGGAGCGTGTATCCATCCATCACAGTGCTCCTACCACATGCACGCTCTCCCACCATATCTGTTATTTCAACAGAGCTCTAGTTCCTCCTGCTTGTTCCCCAGGCTGCCACACATTTGTATCTGTACACTTGAGGTGGGTACTGTTCATCCTTTTTTGTTGCTCCTGGGGTCCCATAACATAACACCACGCAGAGACACTTGTGCAGGTGTGGAAGAAGACTTTGCTGCCCAGCAGAGCTTGTCAGCTTGGATTTGGCACATTGCTGGTGCTCTGTTACTTCTGGGTCCAGAGCAGCCTGGCTCTCAGCTGAACGTAGCTGTACTCTGTGCTTGTGCTAGGTCTGTGGTTGTTGAGGAAACATGTTCTTACAACAGCGTGTCTTCATTCTTGCACATTTATTTCTAAGTTCAATTTAGTTTATACCCTCTGGGGGGTATGAGCTGTTTTTACTTGACACAATTTTGTACCTTTGGAAAAAGGAAAGATAGACAAAGAACCTTTATTTAAATAATTCTGCCAACAAGCTAGTTAAAAGGTCCGTGCCAAGTTCAACTGAAGCAAGTTTAGGATTTCCAGCTTGGGCTGCTTTGGAGATCTGATGAATCAACAATTAGGAAGTTTTCAAAGTGAAATCATCCTGTTCACTGGAAAGCTCTCACTTCCAAATGCTTTGTCTTCTTTATTGCAAAATTACCACCAAGGTTCTCTTCTAGTACAATATTCTTTAAACATCATGGGAAATTTGGGTCAGTTAGTTTAAAACAAAGGTTAGGATTTATACAAGGCTAACCTGTGCCTGGAGATAAAATCTCTTCCTCCGTAAGTCCTTGTGAGTTGAAAGTCTTGATCCGCTGCTTTTGCAGACCTGTTTCTTGTACTTTCTTTAAGTAGAGGGTTGTTTTGCTTTCTTCTGCAGGAACTTCCTGCTTCTTTTCCCTCCTCCCCATTGTCTTTTTATCATATCTCATCTCATCTGATCTGTAAAAAATAGTATTTCACTTGACCCATCGTATTTTGTGGAGCAACAGTGAATACAGCTGCATTCAGAAATGAGCAGTTTTTAAATTGTGCTCTTCCCATTGCAATGCAACTTTATTTGACTGCTTAATTTCTTGTGTAGATTGAGTCTCCATACTGTTTTTTCCATGGCTCATAGAGAGCTCAATTAGCTGGACTTGATGGGCCTCACCGATACTGAGAATGTATTTTTAGGAAGTCTGGTCATTTGAGAGACTTATTTAACACAGTCCGCAGTGTTGGAAAGCTGAAGTTCTCTGCAGATTTTTTGAGAGGCGCTTTACCCTTCAAAATGATTTCTGTTTTCCCCTGTCGTTGTGGGGAAAACTATGTTCAATTTGTTTCACAGAAAGACTTCAGAGAGAGGTTTTTGTTCCCATGCTGAGCTCTCTTGCGCATACAGATTCGTAGTCAATGTAAACAATGCAGC